AAGGCTACTTGCTGAGGTAAGACTGTTCTAAGAAGAAAAATCGTGGTGTGTAGGAGGTTTGCATTATGCTTAGACACTGTGGATACTTCAGTTTCAGGTAAGCAGGGCATTCACTTGGTTTGTTTCTGGCATACTTCATCAAATCATCCCTTTTTTAACTAGTACTTACTTCTACTGGCAGAGAATGGCAGGGAAGGAAGTGGGCGAGCTTCTGAAGTTTTCCGCCGTGTAGACATTGCAAAGTTAATTGTCAGGCATTGTTTTGCGCCCTTTAGTCTACTAAGAAACCCGTTGCAACTTTCTGCGTGTTGTACAGGATGACATAACGCAGAAAGGCGGCTTCTCCCCCAAAACGTGTGACACGGCTCGAGTGCTGGGGCGTAGCGCGTGTTGCTGCTGCAGCTGGCGTCGTTGTGAAATCAAAGCCCTGTGCTGGAGGTGTGCTTGCTCTGCTGGGTGGGTTCGCTGTCTTCAGCACAAATGGGTTTTGGGGGTTTTTTTGGCCCGTGCGTGCCTTAATCATTCCGAAGCTTCAAAAAGCGATCTGAGTACCTGAGAGTGAGTTGCGGGTCGGGCTGTTGTGGCTGGGAGCTCTGACACTGTGGGTGGGGGGCAGAAAAGTGTTTAGGTTGGTGTATTTGGCAGCTTTGCAGCAGTTCCTCATTAATAAGCCTCTGATTAAGCCGAGGCTTTGCCTGCCAGCCTTCTCTGCAAGTGTGTCTGTACATGTTTATCTAGTTTTAACTATCTTTCTGGTTTTCCCATCACCTCCTGTGTTTTTTGTCATCGCTTTTCTCTTGCCTGTGTTGGTGAGATGGGTTGCAGCCTGCTGCAGCTCTTGTTGATGTGCCTTTGGTTTGTCAGGGACGCGTGTTTTAGGATGTGTATCCGTGTCCTTCCTCTCTGTAAGAAGTCCTGCTGATTCCCGTCTCATTAGGAATCTGTCTTTCTCTTTGTAATCAGTTTGTTTATCTTCTGCTTATCTTCTAGAGAACCTTTCCTGCTACATTTTGCATTGAAATCTGCCCTCCACTGCTGCTTGTACTAACTTTCACTTGCTCTGATACATTGCCTATAATTTAAAATAAAGACCTAGATATTTATTTACTCCAAGTTCTAGCATTAAAGTTCTGTTGGAGGGAAAATTGCCACATACTGATGAGTCTGTAAGTAGAGCCTTCGGTTACCTTTAGTTATGAAACCAGAAGCGTGTAATTTAAGGTGCTGAGCAAACTGGCTTTCCAGTCTTTCCGGTTGGCTTTCATAATAATACACCCCCCCCCCCAATGCCTGGTAAAATCAACTCCCTAATCCTCCAAATCTTAAATATGCCTCTGGGCATGCATACTTGGGAATTTTGGGATCATCTTAAATCAGATACAGACCTTGTGTATCATACTCTTGTTTTAAGCAGAAACACCCCATTGAGTGCTTCTGGTGACCTGAGGGACAGCAACTTAATCGACTAATCACAGGACCCAGAAAGTCATTCCTGAGTTAATACTGGCTGTCTCGGTGGTTTGCCATTTAATTTTGAGCTAGTCACAGTGGCTTTTATAATTTACTGCTTGTTTGTATGTTTGACCTTCTCCCCTCACTGCCTTAAATTAATATATTTTTTTTTTCTTTTTAAGTAGGCCATGAATCTCTAAGCAACTCTGATGTTTTCATTCTGCCAGAGGCAGTTTAAAAGAGAAGAAAGCAATTAAATGTTTTCAGGATGTATCCAGCCCTTTCCTGAGTGGCTTTTAATGTTCTTGTGTATGTATCGTCTCTTTTTTTTTCTGCTCCAAAGAGACTTTATTGGCTGTTTCCAAGCTGCTCAGATATTTCTGGCAAAATATAAAGCTTGTGCTTCGCGAATATAATGTGGACCAGATATTAAAGCAGCTGCAAAGAAGATGAAACACAAAATGTACTTTCCTGACACTTTAAAAATATCTGATAAGTGAAAGAAGTAGAAGCTGGTTTATGTTCAACACAGTATCTGTTGCATACGAAAGCAGTGATTCTCTGAAGACTCTGATAACTAATCTAACGTGCATATACTAGATAAATTTATGCAAATTGGCTTGTTCCCGGTCCAAGGCTGGAATAGCGTAGCCAAAAAGTGTTGCAGTTATGGAGTAAAGCATTCTTAAATGTTTGGATTTGCATATAAAATACTCCATATTGTTCGATTAAGGTTTGGCTCGTGACTGTTTTAGTCCATCGTCTTAAGGAATGGAGAAAAGGGAGGGAAAGCACACTAAAAGAAAACGCAGAAAAGACTGCACGTGGCTTCTGCTTAATCATAATTTAATTAAGTTGCGAGGAGAGAATGAGTCCCTTGTAAGTGCTGCTGATGTGCTGGAAAGTGGGGTGTTGGTTTCCTCTTAAATGTGAGTGGTAGAGGCACAGAGCACCTGAAATCCGTAAATCTTGTTTCCCGCTTCTGGAAACGGCTGAGCAGACCGACTCGGTGCTGAACAGCAAGCTGAAACGCCAGGTTTTCTTTCTCGCACGTGTGCGGCCCGATCTGCTTTCCTCCGAACCGAAATGCCCTGGAATAGTAAAGCACTCGATTGCACGTGTCCGGAGGGAAATTTTGCCAAGTGAAAACCAGTTTTCACTAGAATGCTCCACAGACTCCTCTCCTTCGAGAGCTGTTTTCCTAAAATATGTCAGCGTTCATCCCCAGCTATTTTGGCAGAAGAGCTGTTCAAGAAAACCCGTTTTTAACCTCTTCCAAAACCAGCTGAGGCTGAGCTAGCTTGGCTTTAGTTCCCGGAAGAAAACATTTTACCCTTTTCAGGGGATCAACCAGACAAGGCAAAGTTTTCAAAACTTAGAAATGGCAAAACAAACTTAGGTTGGCAAAGCTCAGGCTCCTTTTAGAGCAGGTATTTCTAACGCTCCAGCTAGAGTAATAGAGCGCATAAAAGGAGATCATATAGATGGAAAATGTCTGAAGGCTTTGTAAGCACTCTGAAAAAAAAGTCTTCTAATTGGTCACCATAGACTTCATATTTTCCAGGACTATGCAAGTAGGTTTTTAATATTGTTTTTCATTTTTATTGTCATTTTGTTTGCCATCATCTTTGTCTACCATCATCATCGTGCATTTTGAGCTTCAGAAGGCTGGAATAAGAATGCTCACGGCAGAATAGCTTCTGTGTGTATGTGCTTGCTTGGTTTTTTGGCCTCCGTTGCACATTTGTTGTTTTTTCCTAGAATCTGTAGCGCCCGTGAGGGTTGTACACAGTGTCCTGCCGCGGCGCGCAAACGTGGCCTGACACGTTTGGCCTCTGGCTGCTCTGACCTCAGGGAAGGCAGCTGTGCTGTTATTCCCCGTCAACAATGCAACTTGTTTTGCTGGGACCGAAGAATCGGTCAGTGATGAGCAGGGGTCTGAGGAAACCTTTTGTTTGTCACAGTTTTTGTTTTTATGTTTGGAGAGAGGGAAAGTTTTGTTTCACTTGAGCTGAAGCATGCCAAACTTTCAAAAGGGCTTATCAAAATATTTAGATATTAGTGTTTTTCTGTACCAGGTTACAGACTGAGGGCGAGCCTGCTTTTGAACTTGCCTTTTAGAACTTATTTAAAGTTGTTCCAAGTATGCTGTAAGTTTTCGTATTTTAAATACCAATTTGTCTTGTCAAAATACCTGTTGACTTCTGTTTAAAAAACCTGCCCTTCTCCCTGTTGTTTCAGATGTACTCATGGTTGTTTGATCGGCCAGTTTCCTTCTCCTAGAGCTTTGTGTGCTTGGGATAATTAGTTTTTGATTTAGAGGTAACTTTCCCATTGCTCTGTGTCGGAAATCCCTTGATTGTGTCTTACTGAGCGGCTCTTATCTTAGGGTCATTCCAACCATGGTGTGTGGGGTAAATCCACCAAGACAAATGTTTCTCTGGGACGGGTGCAAGATTTTTTGATGTTATTTTAAGCGGGCGATGTAACTGGAGCTGACAACCACCGTTGCCACTCCAGGGCAGGTTCAGGTTTTGCTTCTGTGCAAAGTGCGATTCCGCAGGCGAATACGGCTGTGGAGAAGGGAGGGATTTGGGGGAATCGCTTGAGGTGAAAAAGAAAAACTGGAGGTCCTGCCGTTAATCATTCCAGACTTCAAATGAGACATAACTTTTATTTCCTGTTCCAGTAAAACCTGTTTCAGTTGTACAGCTGAATGAGCTAGCTGTTCTTCTGTCACCTACATATAGCTAACGCGTTTGTGTTAAACCTGCAAACCTTTTGCTCTCAAGGTCTACAGAGTGAGAGATTTCACGTTAATTAAAAATACTATATGGTTGTAGTTTGTGTGATAATGAAAGTCTTTTCTGTAAATCAGTACAACTAATTTGTTCTTCTCACCACTTAGCTTATGTGTATTGGTGAATAGGAGGTGTTTTTTCTTTTCCTGAACCCAATTTCAGTTGAATTACACATGAATCCATTCCAGCATTCATGGACACTTTTCCTCTGCAGTTAGTTAGAAACAGTG